GCGCCGCCCCCGGGGGCTCGGGGACCCGCGGGACTCAGCAGGAGCGGTACCCGAGACGAGCGGCGGCCCGCCGAGAGCCCGCTCCGCTGCCGGGAGGTACCCGCCGATCGCCAGCATGATCGAGGTGAGCGGAGCGGGCTTCCTGCCCCAATCCCCTCGTCCATCCCTCGGGAGATGCGGGCGGCAGGGACACTTTCCCGTGGGCAACAAGGAAAGCGGTGGTTTACTGATTAGTCTTTACAGGTTTTAATGCTCTTATTCGTTATTAACGCTTTGCGAAAGAGATTGCAGTCCCCAAGAGATCTCCTCTTCGAGATTCAGAAGCAGGATGTGTGTGATTCTACATCTTGCCATGTCCTTCCATTGCAGACTGCATGTGCGGAAAAGAATGAGTCGGGGGAAGAAGGGGAGGGGGTCGGATTTCTTACTGGTTTTTATCATTTCCTCGGGGAGGGGATTTCTTACTGTTTATTTATAATGCGGAACTCAATGATTAAAAAGAAGGAAAAAAAAAACCTGCAAAGGTTATGGTCTTCTGGTAGGCTTCATGTCTTTCTATGTCTGTGAGTTTATTATAGGTCTTATGTCTGCCACTGTGCAAAAATAGCCTATGGATAAGACCCAGTAACATGTATTTAGATGCTTTAAGTCATTTCGGATATAACTTTAAATAATGGAAGAGGAGTTGTCAGTAGTGAACACTAACGAGAGAAATAAGCATCAGTGAGAACTATCCTTCTCTAAATGTAATGTTTATGCTCTTCTGCTTAGTGAGGCTGATCTGGGGATTAAAAAGAAGTCTTCCTTGTCAAGACAAAGGGCATGGAGATAGCACGGGTGCTTTTCAATTAGACTGAGAGAACATCACAGCAACTTTATACCCTGTGGAACAGCTGCACTGAGAATAATTCTTGGGTTTTGAAAATGGTCCATGCTGGGCTGTGAACTTCATAGCTGAAGCCTGATGTCAAAGTTAATAGCTGAGGTTAAACAAGATTATTTGTTCTCTTTGGGTAACTATAACAGATGGAATATAGGCACAACAGGTATGTGACTAGCAAGTGCCCCAGCTCCTCTCTGCTGCTGATTACAAGGTTACTCTCATCCCATCCTAGGTCTCACCAGCATTGCTGTGAAGCAGTGGTGCAGGTGCTACTGGTTATGTCAGGGCTAGAATGGGTGAGCGCTCCTCTCACTAGTTCTGCAACTGGAGGGTGGCAGACGAACCATGGCAGAAAACTCATGTGAAACTGCTCAGGGAAAATACCCAAGCAGCTGCCCTAGCCAGAATGCTTAGGGACAGAATGCAAACATGTCAAAGAGAGAGACAGAATGTCATGTTTTATATCACTTTTGATGTACCTGTTGTGTGTCTAGGAAAGAGAGAATGACCCTGGTCTCCAGGGTGTTATCCAGCACCTGGCAGTAATGTTCTGGCATGCCCATGCCAAAAACAAATAGTAGGTAAGCCATAGACCTACCTGCCTGTTTGCTCAAAGCCACACTGACATCTCGCTGGGTTCTTTTCACCTGCACAAAACTTAACTTTGTTTTGTATTTTTACTGTAGAAAAGACAGCATGAAGCAATAGCTACAGCAGTAAAAATACACTCCTGTCACTTGCAGGTGGTGTAGTCAGTTCTGTCTGAGCCCTTTACCCTTTATTTGCCTCATGTGTTCAGACTGTGAAAACTCTTCAGGGTGATGACTGTTGCTGTGTATCTGTAGAGCATGTACCAAAGGTGCAGAAAATTGCCATTTGATTGTTGTGATACTTATGCAAAACCCAATAAATTTATGAAGGTATCAGTAAACAACAGCATTATTGCAGCTCCTTATCCCTTCATCTTGCCCTTCATCCTTTCCTGCTTTTAGTCACAACCCTCCTTTTCTCCTTGAAACATTAATAGCTCAACCTCAACCCTCTCTTTCTGGCCTGTTCAAAGGAATGTTATGCATAAGAAATGAATTATGCCTCTGGTCTCTGCAGTTCTGCTTGTCCACCTATTGCACTGATTGTTACTGACAGGCCCAACACTGCTAACACTGTGCGATCCAATGAATATTCTGATTTTTCCCATGGAAACTGAGTATTGAAATCTGCAGCAAAGACATAGGTTAAAAAGAAGATTACAAAATCAGTAGGTAGCTTTACAACTGTTAATATCTTGCTGAACCAGTCCATAGGCCGTGTCCTTGGTTTAATTTGACAGATGAGAATAATTTAAATGGAATTATTTTTTAATTTATCCCTGGGAGGGCAATGTTAGGAAATGAGGTAAATAAGCTCATTAATTGTGTAAGCACTCAGTTATTCTGAATTTGTTCAGCCATTTAAAAAAAAAAAAATTTGGTGTGGGCATGCTAAAGAATCAGAACAGACATTCTTTTCATTACTTCCACATGTTGTGCCTTTTCCTTAAATGAATAATCATAGCTGAATGTATAGCCAACTGCAGCTTATTGGTAGGTTTGAAGGCAGTACCTTCAGTGTTAGAATGAAGGAGCTAAGGGGTTAATTCTGTTTGGAAAATTTGCACAATTAGCCTTCTTAGGCCATGCACATGAGGACTGTCATCTTCATGTCACTACACTGACATATTATGTACTCCACAGTGCGAGATAAGCTCATCAGAGACTTCAATGAGCTCAAGCCACTCAAAACTGATTGTGGCTTTTGATAATAAATTGTGGCTATCCGGCTGCCACAATGGTTGCAATGTAGAGATTAAATACATGACCTTAATTTTGAATGTCTGAATTTTGGTGATACTCAGGCATAAATCAAAGCAGTATGTGACCCTAATTTGTTATTCATAGTCACTTACTTGCTCACAACTCGATACTTCTAATTCTCACATAGGATGAAGTGAATGAGTGGTCCCATTTACCTTGGAAACAATTTCATTATTTTATGACTTTATACATTAAAGGGACGGGTAATGTTACCTCATAAAATAGAGCACCTGTTGTAGAAGGACAATTTAGCAAATATTACCATATGGTACTGCAGATGAAAATCCAGTATTGTGGTCATGGAAAGGCCTAATGTTGTCCTTTGCTGTGTATATCAAATAATCCAAAAGAGTTAACATGAACTAAATAATTGAAACTATCTTTAAAATGTTTTACCCACCTGTCTTTTCTGCATCTTGACCAATAGTCTATTACTGTTGGTAAAAACTTATGTCATAATCCTCTTCCAGCAGTTACTCATTTACTTTCTTCCCTTGAGGTCTGCAGTTTTTTCCAGGTTTTATTTTAGAGTATACCTGATGCATTAATGAAGTGCAGCATATGACTTCTCATTAGGTACACAGCTATTGCTAATTCAGTTTGCCTATTAGAGCATTTCACATAATATTTGATAAAAACACTCTTAGCAAGCACAGAAAATATATTGCTTTTCTTGTTATATGAATAGGGTTTAATTCCACAAAGATAGTATTAATTTCCACTAGCATTCAGAGAGATCAGTGCCACACAAGTCATGTCCACTTGTTTAATTTTATTTAGACTCTTGTTTTAGGGATTATCACTTCTGTAATAAATGCTTGCATTTGCATTACTCTTACTGAGAGTGAACTTTTTTAAACTTTGAGAAGCTGAGGGAGCTGCGTTTGTTCAGTCTGGAAAAGAGAAGGCTTTGGGGTGATATAATAGCAGCCTTCAAAATCCAGAGGAAAATCAAGGTGATGGGAACAGGTTCAGCAATAAACAAAACTGTATGAAGTACTCAGAAAAAAAAAAAAAAAAAAAAAAAAAAAAATGAATTTTAAATTAATATATTTTAAATATAAGCTATAAATATAGATACAAAATTGCATATTCCACTCTTACAACAAAATTATTGATTCACAAGTTTTTATACAACTGTATATCATCATGCAATTCATTAAAAAACACCACATAAAGCCCACTTATAATCAGCAGTAATAATATAATTTCTGTTGATGCATGGAGTTTCTCACCCTCCGGTAAAATAAAGGAAATTCTTAATCAAAACGATATGGAGAAGAAAACTTTATAGCAAATTTTAATACTTTCAGTATTGTCAACATATTTAGCAAGCTAGTTGTTAAGTAAGTTTCTTACCAGATGGATGATGCAGATTTTATTTTCCTGATTTTAAAGTTTGAGGAATCTGGTAGAGAGGTTGAGTTTTTGATACTGGATGAATTAAAGCATGTCATTTTAAAAATAGGATTTAGTTTTAAAGCATTCAAAAGTAGCATAATAATTTTTGAGAACAGAACATCAAGATTTAAGATAATCAAATTGTCAAGGTCACAGTCAGTGATAGTGTTGAGAGTCAAAACACTAAGTCCTTCTGAATCCTGCCCTATACTGTGGCAATGCCTCCTTACAAACTTGGAAAACTCCTTCCTCACTGTTAGAAAGTATTGCCTGAAGTATAGGGGGTGAAAGCTATAAAAAATTAATAGCTGTGAACTAGTATAAAAGTGTAATGTGAGCCAAGTTTACTCCTTACATGACATGAAGTAGTTGTTTTAGCATACAATAGCTACGCAGCCACAATGTTTGTCACAGCTGTACAGCTGCATATATACATGCATGCACACAGAAAAAAATAAACCATATTGTATGCACATGCTTGTGTAAGGCATTTATCCATAATGCTTGTATCGTTTGTTTTTTAAGCAAGAATGGTTAGATATGCTGTAGCAGTTTTATATGTTCAACTAAATTGGAGACTCTACCTTAAACTGTCTTTAGAAACAGAAGTGCAGTTTGGAAGACAAATGAAACAAAGTTTCACATGCCAGGAAGGGTTTTCTTTCTGTAACCATAAAGGAAGCCCATTGGGTTGTTTGACTGTATTTGATTCAGTTCAATTTTTCTTCTTTCTATATCCTTCTAACAGAGCTGTGCTTTTTTCTAGAACTGATTCTGTGCTGTGGCCCAGTCTATGGCCCAGGCTTCGTCCTCAATATTACAAGTTCTGTAGTCTATGGTTTTTTCATATTGACAAGTGTCTGTACCATTCAAATAACTTCATTTTTTTTAATATTATCCTTTGCCATGCAACACCTTTTCCGAGATTATTTTTGACATTTACAGGTTGATTCTCTTCTTGCCACCTGGAGATAGAAGTTCAGTAAT